GAGGGGACGAGCAGCAGCCGCCTCGGCCGCCTGGCGAGCATGGCCAGCCCTGCCTCCCTCTTAGCCCGACCCCAGGCCCCTCGGACTCATCCCCGGGAAGCCGCCTCCGTGGTCTCAGGGACCCGCAGCCCAGTCCATATGGGTTGCTCGCCGAGGTGGCTCCACGCCGCCGCCGGAAAGGAGGAGGGCGTTAGGGGCGCGCGTCCCGGTCCAGCCCACCCGCGCCCTCCCGGGGTATTCCTCCTGTTTACTTTTCATTCAGGCCGCCTATGTAGTCCGTCCGCTGCCCGCCTGCCTGCCTGCTCTCCTGCTTCCCCCACCCCCCGTTTCTCCGTCAGTGAAGCCAGAAATTCCCGCCCCCAAGTAACCCGAAAAAGAAGAGGCGGGCCGTGCCACACACGCCAGCCGGGGACCTGCCAAGGAAGCGCCGCGCGTCTCGGCGCTCGTGTGGAACTTCTTGGCTCCGCCTTCCGAGCACCACGTTCCGAGCAAAGGTCCAAAGTTCAGCTGGGTGGCGCTTCGGCTCCTCCAGCGAGGGCCCAGTGCGCGGCGCCACAAGGCAGCCAGCCTCCGACCGGAGCAGTGCCACAGGCCGAGGGGGCGGCGGAGGAGGAGCAGGTGGGAGCCACCGCTATGTGCAGCGAGAGAGAGAGAAAAAACAGCATGCCGTAGCCCAACCCATCTGCAGTGGAACCTTTGCAGGCACTAGTGTTCAGGGGGCAGAACCCCACCGATCTGTGAATAAGCCCCACCAAACCCAACAGGAGGAGTTAGAAAGTACTCAGAGGTGGTTTGCTAGTTTGGACCTTGAAGCTTTCCCAAGGCTACATTTGCTGGCTCGTAGTGGGGAGTAGACCTCCCAGCAGCAGGTAGTCAAGTTAACTGAGCTATCCAGCCAGCTCCCAACAAAGTTAGGAAGAAGTGTAATGTTACAGGATATTACAAAACAGAATGAAACAAAGAAAACAGCATGTAGCAAATTAAAATGTGGATCAAAAGGTGCATCTTCCCTCCTTTCTTGGCTAAGGTAGGTTTTTCTGCCTGTTAGGGAACAGACCCAGTTTCTCTGTCTATAACCTGAATCTTAGCCTTTAAGCTGTGAGGCATGATCCACCCCTGGGTGGTCTGATTAGTGGGCAGAGACAGAAGGCAAAAGGGTTGGAGTATCTTGGAAGAGCACATGGTTGGGATCCTAAACAAAATGTTGTCTTTTCATTACGTATCCCACTTGTGCATTCTTTCATAGTTTTTGGCCTGTTGGACAGTTGAGATGGTAGATAAGCGTCCTTCGCTTTTGCAGAAAACACCCACACACATTTTTTTAACTCAATCAGTAAATATCTCAAGAATTACTTCTGCAAGTCTCAGCAATGTCTCTTTGCAAACAAAACAGCACACATGATTCTCAGAAGGTTATAGAAACTCCCAAGAACCAAGGACATTCTACTGTTTTGAGATGTTTTGTGTTCCTGCTAGTGCTATAAACATTTTGGTGTGGACTGAGTACTTTAAAAAGCTTTCACAGGGTAGAGATATAGCAAAAAGAAACCCAAAAAATAATGCCAGGCATAGACTTTCCCATGTCTGGTTGGCAGTATAGAGTGGCCCGGTGGGCCAGATAGGTGGGGTATAAATCAAATCAAATCAAATCAAATCAAATCAAATCAAATAAATAAATAAATAAATAAATAAATAAATAAATATTTGTTCTGTGCATTCCTTTTTCCTGAGCTCAGGCAGTCACTGCCCTTGGGCCTGCTGATATTTTGTGAAAATAAACAACCTACTTGCCTATCTGCAAGATTCTGTGTGCTTTCTACACCAGCGGCTGCAACATCTACCATAAGGGCTGGCCATTCCACCCTTGACGACGACAAGAGGAGGCTTTACACCTAGGCGCAGTTTGGGTGTGGTCTGGGGCGGGAACTCCACTTTTTTATTTTTATTGCTCTGTCACTTTCTAATTTATCTTCCTGCTATTCTATATTAATAGAATTGAATGTTAATTATTAATAATATTAATTTAATTTGCTTAATTATTTAATGGTTCACTTAAATTGTTCATTGGGTTTTTTAATTACTTTTGTTTATTTTTTATAATTGTATTGTTTACTTGTAATTTTTGTTTAGTCATTAGGTTTTTTTCCTTTCTTCCTGCTCTCTTTTTCTTTTGAGCTGGAGTGGAAGGCTTCCCCCCCCCCCAGTGGGGCACACCTAAATATTTGGGTGATTATGGGTAGAGGGAGATATGGCGTTGGCACAGCTGCTGCTCATTTGAGAAGAATGGTGGACAGATGTTTAAAGGCTGTCCACTGTTCTGGCTCTGTGACCACCTGTCAGGCTCGATGTAGCCAGCTCAGTCGCCCCTCCACTCTAAAACTGGTGATGTTCAATGCCAGATCTGTATCCAATAAGTCCCAGCTTATCCAATATCTTACTCTGGAGGAGGACGCAGATCTGGCTTTCATAACTGAAACTTGGATGGGCTGTGATAGGGCGTTTTTCTGTCTCTTGCCTGTCCTCCCTGTTATGCTGTCCAACATCAGGGTGGACCAGAGGGGCAGTGTGTGTGTGGCCATTGTTTATAGAAATACTCGTGAGGTTGTTAGGCTCTGCTGTGGCAATGGCAGTTCTGGTGGCCCTTCACATGTCATTTGGGCCAGGGATAGTATTGGGATTTTGCTGGTATACCATGCTTCCCGTGATCCAGCTATTTCCTGGCAAACTTCATCTCCGTGGCTCTGTTGGGATCCTGGAGGCTATTAGTCTTGGCTGATTTCAACATCCATGCAGAGGCGGAGATTTCCAGACTGGCTCTTGAGTTCTTAGAAACCATGGCTTCCTTGGACATGTCCCAACATGTTAACCGTCCCACCCACATGGGCAGTCGCATGCTAGACCTGGTGTTCTCCCCTCAGCGAAGTGAGTGTGGTCCGATGGTGACCAACCTTGCATCAGTCCCCTTGTCATGGTCGGACCACCACCTAATAAAAGGCAACCTCACAATGACTCTCCCTCCCCGCAGGGAGCAGGGACCTATTGTCTGGTCCACCCTCGTAGGCTACTGGATCCTATAGGATTCCAGAATTCCATGAGAGGGATTTCAATTGAACTGGCTAGTGCTCCTGTCGAGGCTCTGGTTGACAGCTGGTTTGCCATCACCACCAAGGCTGTGAACATGATCGCTCCTAAATGCCCATTCTGGCGCAGAGCTCAACCAGTGCCTTGGTTTGACCAATAGCTGTGAGCTATGAAGCAGAACAGGAGAATGCTGGAGAGCATTTGGAGGCAGAACCCAAGGGAAAATAATCTAAAAGCTACCAGGATTGTGTCTTTACCTTTACCTTGCCAAGGTGAAGGCTGCCAGGAAAGCTTACTTCACTGCCAGGGTAAGCAAAGATTCCAGTCAGCAGGTGGAACTCTTCCGTATAGTATGCAATCTATCCGGAATAGGTCATAATGACTGGCCTCCCCTTACCGTCTCACCTGACCAAATTGCAGCATTCTTTAAATCTAAAGCGGAGGCCATCCACTGGTACCTAACCCCCTGTTTGAAAACAGTAGATTGAGCCAAGACATCGTGTTCAATGAGAATTACTCAGTTTCAGCCGGTGACATCAAGAGAGGTGGACAAAGTGCTTGATTGCTGTCATGCCACCACGCCCTCCTTTGACCCTTGCCCGGCTTGGCTAATCAAAGTAGCCAGGACTGTGATGACTGAATGGGCCACTGCAATAATCAATGGATCTCTCCAGGGGGGCAAGGTTCCCCTTGCCCTCAAGGAGATGCTCAGTAGGACCATCAGGAAGAAACCGACCTTGGCGGCAGACAACATTGACAACTATAGGCCCGTTGCCAATGTTCTTTCCTTAGCAAAGTAGTAGAGAAGGTGTTGGCCGATCAGCTTCAGGCCTTTTTAGATGAAACCAACTCCCTGGATCCATTCCAGTTGGGCTTCATGCCATGCCACCGTATGGAAACGGCATTGGTCGCTCTGCTGGATGACCTGTTGAGGGAGGCCAACAGGCAAAATGTCTCTGCTGGTCCTCCTCGACATCTCAGCCGCCTTTGATACCGTTGACCACAGTATCCTCCTGGGGAGGCTCTCTGAGTTGGGGATCAGTGATGTGGCTCTTGTCTGGCTCCGGTCCCTGTTGAAGGACCGTTCTCAGAGAGTCCAGCTTGGGGAGAATGTATCGGCCCCAGGGCTCCTCAAATTGTGGGGTCCTGTAGGGTTCGATCATCTCTCTAATGTTGTTTAATATCTACACGAGGCCTCTGGGGGGCATTATCCAGGGGTGTGGTGCCTTGTGTCATCAATATGCTGATGACACTCAGCTCTACAGCTCCTTTTTTCCATCAGCAGTGGATGCTGTTACGCCCCTTGAGCACTGCCCGGGGACTGTTCTGCAATGGATGCAGGAGAACGGACTGAGGCTGAACCCGAAGAAGACAGAGGTCCTTTGGGTGGGCACTGCTGTCAACAGTGGGTTGTGAAGCTCTCTTTTGGGGGAGTGACTCTCACCACAAAGAATGCGGTTCACAGTCTGGAGGTCCATCTTGACCCAGCACTTGCCATGGAATCGCAGGTAACATCTGTGGTCTGCACCGCCCATTTACATCTTCGGCGGATTGCCCAGCTCCACTCCTAACTTTATGTTGGGGCGCTCACCACACTTGTCCATGAGCTCATAGTCTCAAGATTAGACTACTGTAATGCACTCCACATGGGGCTTCCCTTGAGACTGATGTGGAAACTTCAAATGGTCCAGAACACGGTGGCCAGATTTTCACTGGGGTGAAAAAATATCATATTTCCCCCATTCTGGC